CGTCCATTGTCCCTGGAACCGTCGTTTTCTTTTCATTATCTGTCTTCAGGCTCTCGGCCAGAGATTTGTCCACGATTAATTTCTTGCTCTAATTCCCAGATGAAGCTCCGTCGCAAGAAGAATGTCAAGAAGGGTATCCAGTTCTGTCTGATGGTCTGTGGTGCCAGCGGAACCGGTATGTGCTGCATCATACAAACCAACTTCGATTGCAGAATTGACCCCCCTTTCGTTAGGACGTACCACCTTCGTCAACACTCTTTGTGGAAAGAAGGTCCTAGAAGGCAAGGACTGCGACGACCCGGCCAACGCTCACATTGAGGAGGGTGTCCGCATCAAGCCAGTCACAGTTGGTAAGTCACCGCCATCTGGACCACCAGCATACACGCCGCTAATGAGATCCCGAAAAGAGCTGGAATTGGACGACGAAGGCACCCGCATCTCCCTCACCATCGTTGATACCCCCGGTTTCGGAGACCAGATTGACAACGAAGCAAGGCACGTTGAACTTGGCCGCCTTCCCAACGCCCCCTACGATTACTGACCGTCCCAACAGCTTCGGCGAAATCGTTGGATACCTTGAGCGCCAATACGATGACATTCTTGCGGAGGAATCACGAATCAAGCGTAACCCCCGCTTCAGGGACAACCGTGTTCACGTCCTGCTTTACTTCATCACACCGACCGGCCATGGACTGCGTGAGCTGGACATCGAACTGATGAAGCGCCTTTCTCCCCGTGTCAACGTCATCCCCGTCATCGGCAAGGCCGACTCTCTCACCCCTGCCGAATTGGCCGAATCCAAGAAGCTTATCATGGAGGATATTGAACACTACCGCATTCCCGTGTACAACTTCCCTTACGATATCGAGGAGGACGACGAGGACACTGTGGAGGAGAATGCTGAGCTTCGTGGTCTGATGCCGTTTGCCATTGTTGGCTCTGAGGACTTCGTTGAGATTGACGGCAAGAAGGTGCGGGCCAGGCAATATCCTTGGGGTGTCGTGGACGTCGAGAACCCCCGTCACTCGGACTTCTTGGCCATCCGCAGCGCTCTTCTTCACAGCCATCTCGCAGACCTTAAGGAAATTACCCACGATTTCCTCTACGAAAACTACCGTACTGAGAAGCTCAGCAAGAGTGTGGATGGTGCTACGCCGTACGTATACCCGCTTGCCATTGTTGCGGTCCACTGGAACGAAAGCTAATCCATAGCCACAGTACACAAGACTCTTCGATGAACCCAGAAGACCTAGCATCCCAGTCCGTTAGACTGAAGGAGGAGCAGCTTCGTCGCGAGGAGGAGAAGCTCCGCGAGATCGAACTCAAGGTGCAGCGCGAGATCGCTGAGAAGCGCCAGGAACTGTTGGCTCGTGAGAGTCAGCTGAGGGAGATCGAGGCTCGCATGGCGCGTGAAGCAAGCCAGAGTCAGATTGATAGCATCAGCGATGCTTGAGCTCTTCCCGAACCTGTTCCCCGGAGGGAGACGGATCTTGCATGTTGACCCCGGACGCCGTTTGTGCCTATGTAATGAGATTCGTGGCACGGCAGTTGTGACTGTCGACGGGGGAAAGATTAGTCGACCGTTTATTCACGTTAATAGCTTCTTATCCGAGAGGAGAGGGGAAAATGCAACGTTCCGTTTATCTTGACGACTGGCAGCATTCCCCTTTGTTCACTCAGAGGGTTGCGGACAAGAGGTGATGGAATCCTGCTGCTGCTCTGCTCTTTCCCTCTCCCAAATTTTGGCTTCTTCCCATGTCTTCTTTAATCTGGTCGAAAGATCTCCGAACTGTTTCGCGCTGCCCACGTTGCGAAGCTTGGGGTCAGAGATAGCATCTTTTTAATTTGCTGACAGTTGTCGTTGAACCTGCATAACCTCCTTCTCATTGCCTATCCCTTTTTTATTTTTTCCCATTTCTGCTTTTGTCGATGAAACCTGTCCCAATCTCAAGCAGCGCAGCAAGATTCCCTCTTTTGTCGTTTCATATTCCTTGTGCTCGTGGTTCATGTCTTAATCTTATCATCATATGTCTTAGTTGAATAGTAGTATATGAGGACAAAAGACCCGAAGTTTTCCTGGGATGTAAATTCTGATAGCATGGTAAGCAAATGTTCTAATCCCCGTCGTGTCTACGCAGGACTAGGAACATTGCACGTAGAGTCATTACTACGAGAAGTAATTTGAGTGCCTACGCGTATACAAGACACATCACATTGCCGTTCAGACCAGCATCAGATTCCAGTCTTGACCCTTCATTTCTTGGGCCCCAGCATAATGAGTTGCATAAGTTCATAATCATATATTAGATAAGCATTAGATAGCTCTTCTAACCGTGTAAGCCAGTGAACACAGTTCACATGAACTTTTTCTTGCGTACACGTGGAACGTTCCCGCGGCACGTGATGCCAAGCCCTTTATGTAAGCAGGAACGTTCCACACGACCCTATAAATTACTGTTTTTTATTATTGAAATTCAACTTCCTCTTATATTTCTCCAAGTTCATTACACACTTTATTTCAAGCACTTACCAAGTACTTTATAAGTACCTGCCAAGTACTTCCTAGACATGGATTTTCATGAAGTTATTGAACTTAGTTCTACGGAAGAGGAATACTCAACCCAGGTAATTTCTTAAGTAATTATCAAGTACTTAGAAATTAATTTATATCTAGGAACC